TTTAAAATATATAGTACTGATAGCATAAAGATCAACTTATCCAACAATGTCATAATCTCAGATTTTGATGTTTTTAACTATGGTGGATTATTTTTCCTTTAATCTCAATCAATAGATATGAATCTAGTGGCTGTAAATATAATGAATATTATTACAAATGCAGCGGGAGGTATAATCTTTATTAATTCTACTGACCTCAAATCTGGTGAAATTCTAATAACTAATTCATATATTCTAAATTCATAGGCTTAATTAGCATCATTGATATTCAGCTAAAATGCATTAGATATTACAATTTTAGATAGTTAAGTACTAGGGTTCTAGACAAATGCCATTTATAGTACTTCATTGTTACAAAATCTAATTTGAATGCAAAACCGATAATATACTTAGGGAATCATTCTTTGATGCCAAGTTATTTCAATAGAGCAAGCAAGACTTATTTTAGTAAATGACAGTAAATGTCAATAAGTTCAGTCCATTTATGATAAATGGAGGCAATGTAACTCTTTATAATAATACTTTCTAATCATGTAGTTTTTGTTAGAATGGAGGAATGTTTTAACTCAATTATAGCTTATTTGAGGATCAAGGCTTAAATCAGTACAAATAAATTGGAGCAATAAACGGAGGAGTGTTTAATTTAATCAATTCTAGTGCAAATTTATCTGGTTTTACTATTTAAAAAACAGCTGCAATACTAGGAAGTGTATTTTCCATTGGTCCAAACTCCTCTATTGTCTTAAAAGATGGTTATATATATAATTCATCGGCTTATAATCAAGGAGGCACCATATTTGCTTTAGGATCTATTGGTAATACAATAACGAATCTAGATATAATAAACGTTGAAATAATAAACTCTGTTAGCATATCAGATGGAGGTGCATTTTATATTGACTCACCATAGATGGCTTTAAACTTTTAAAATCTTCGAACTACTCAAACAATAACTGTAATGGGAAATGGAGGTTTCATGAACATCTAAAAGGCAGCTTCATTAACTGCTAATGGATTGAAGCTTCTTGACTCGTTTTCTTCATAAAAAGGACATTTTATATTCTGTGAAGTAGCTGGAATAATTCTGCAAGTTTTTGAATCATCTTTTATTCAACAAAAATACTTAGATAAAGAGCAATACCCAATTTAATTAGAACTATCATACTCTTATTCAGGTATAATGCTTAAGAATGCATATCGATCTTTATTCTAGAACTGCATCTTTTAGAATAACATTTAATCTTAGTAAGGCGGAGCAATTCAAATTATTGGAGGTAATTTTGAATGTAATGGATGCAATTTTTACAATAATAGTGCATTAAATGGAGGAGCTATGTTCTTATAAGAAACAGATAGTATAACACTTTTCCAAGTATTATTCAATCAAGTCTATGCATAAGAACAGGGAGGAGCAATTAATATTTATTTACCCTAGGGAAACACAAAAATCAGTAATTCTACAATCTATGAAGGTTACGGTGCGGGTTATACAGGAGGCATATATTACGAAACTGAGGTTGATGGTATTTAGATAGAGGGAGGGGTAGTAGTTAGATGATTAGATTTTAATTCATAAGAAGAAGTAGCAATTGTAAAAAGAGATAATAGAGAAATTCAGAATTCAAATGCACAAATTTTCCTTCAATTGGAGTTAGATAATGTAATATTTCGAGAAGTAAAAGGAGGCGTCGCAAGTGTTCTATTTGTCAGAGCAAAAAAAACTGTTGTCAAAATTACTTCTTGCTAAATGGACTAAGTTTATGGTGGTTAATAAAATTCTATTTCTGTCTATAATGCCAAAAGCCTTTTCATTCACAATATGACTGCTACAAATATACACTCTGATTATCAGTCAAGTTTCCTGTTTGTATAATCTGTTGAAGAAGATGTCTTTATAAACTCTTCTAGAATTTTTTGTAATTACAACAATCAAGCTAGAAGAATATTAGATGAAGATACATCAACAATATAAAATGACTAAGGTTAAAGAAAATTGTATGATACATTCTAATGGTTTAATTCCCCTTTATCTGCACCTATTTGGATTAACTTCTCAAAATAGTTCATGATTAATAATTTGCATATGAAAAATTGCATCATGGATAGAAAAAGTACTATTAGAGAAGAAGCTTTAATAATTATGGGTTAAGATAATATGACATTCATCGACACAAATTCAAAATACGAATATAGTGAGGGATTAAATGGAGGAGTATACAATGTTTACTAATTCACATTTAACTTCCTAGTTAATAATACATATCAACATCTTGGAACTAATTAGTATGGATTGATTCATGCCTCAATACCTCAGCTATTATTTATACATAATTGTACATTCTTCAATATAACATCATATGGAGCTGAAGGAGCAATTATTAGTTTGCTTAGCAAATCTCCTTTAACTGGCTATTATATCGGATAAAGAAGAGTTCATATTAGAAATGTCACAGTTAACACAGTGAAAATGGAAAATAGAGCATTTGGAGGCTTTATTGCGCATAGTGATACATCTCTTAATACTATCATAATTGAATCAGTTACTGTAAAAAATTTGTAAAATGCAGAATAATGTGGTATATTTTGCTTTACTCCATTCGATGGTGAACTTCACATTATTTCATCAAGCAAATACCAGAAAACTGAATTCTCTAATTTTTATTCTTTGAGTGAATAACAGTTTATGAGATTCAATTAAAGCTCACTAACAACTTTTACAAAAATTTATATTGAGGATAATATAATTGACTGTCAAAATAAGGATAAGCCTGATTGGATATCTTATGTATATACTTTGGGCAACGAGGGAATCATAAGAATAGCAGAGAAAGCCAGGCTGTATACTAAAAACTCATTGTTTAGAAATTGTTATAAATCTCAAAGTGGATCAATGATTTCAATGTCAACAAATTCTTACGAAGATGAGGGATCAGTATTTTAGAATATCAATGGAGCATATGGTGCTATAGTTTCATGTTATGGTTGCCTAATAAAAATGAAAAATACAACAATGCTGAATATTAATGCAATTAGTGGAGGTTTGATAGCATTAATTGGATTTTGCGATGTACAACTAGAGAAAATTTCAGCTTAAGGCATTTCTGCATAGAGCTAAGGCGGATTCCTTTTTGAACAATAATTTTAATCAGACGTAGGGTACTAAAATAAGACAAATATAGTTTTGAAAAATAGTCAAGAGCTATACGATTTTAAAGCAAGTGAAGGGGGCTTATTCTATCTATTTTAAACCACTACCTCACTTTTAATTTAAAATATAAAGGTACAAAATGCAAGATCAACAATTAAAGGCGGGTTATTTAGTGTCACTGATGCAGAGTTAATACAGATTGAAAATTCAAGAATCATTGATATTTTTTCAGCTAATGGAGGTTTTATTTACTCATCATCAAATCTTCTTAATATCATAATTAGAAATACTAAAATTATGTGTGATCAAAATTACTTATAATTAGAAGAACTTGATAAATACATTAATAATAAAGCTTATTATCCTGAGAGTAAAGCTTATTTTGTTCTTTAAAATACTGCTAGCATAAGTCTCTATAGTAATAGAATAGAGAATTGTGGAAATTAAAATCTAGGAGGAGTATTTTCAATTTAAAAGACAAAATTTACAGACGAGAAATCTATTTTTTTATATAATTCGGGCTAATATGGTGGTGTTTTTAATGCTTAAGAATCAGTTATTAAATTATCATCATCAGAATTCTATAATAACTTAGGAAAAACGGGAGGAGTAATAAATGCTGTATTTAATTCAAGTTTGACATTAAGATTTTGCATTTTCCAAAATAACAATGCTACAGCTTCAGCAGGAGTTCTATTCTTAGCTACATAATGCAGCTTAAATATCTATGGAAGCACATTTTATTAAAATTAAGCTGATGAAAATTCAGTTTTAGAAATAATAAGTACTAATTTAGTTCAGGATGTTGTAATTAGTAAAAGTTAATTTAAAGAAAACAAATCTTCGAAAAACACAATATCAATTCTCTATTCAAGTGTTATATTAATTGATAGCAAATTTCAAGATAATATCGCTTTATCAAAGACTAAAAATATTTTACTTGGATTTGTGAATATAACTATGAGAAACAATATTTTTTCAAGCAAGTATTTAGCTGATTTGGAATAATCTTATTTATTGGATGAAACTACAGGATCGTTTATATTTCTAATTTTTGATGTTATTTTGTCTCTAGATAATTGCTTATTTAAAGGAGGTTTATCTAATTATGGAGGGGCTATTTTTATATCAGGAGATAGCGTTATTAGTATAATGAATTCTAGATTTATTAATAATCAAGCTATTTCAAAAGGAGGTGCTATATATTCTTCAGGTTTTAAGTCTATTTTTATTGGAGATGAATCAACATTCGTTGACAATTTTGCTATAGATTACGGTGAAGACATTTATATCACCAACTCATTTAAAACTATAAGCTTAAATAAAGTCTCGTTTAGCAACCTAAAATCAAAGAATTCTATTTACATTGAACAGGCATTTTTAAATGCTACAAACTTAACAATAAAGGATATCAATTAAAATAAGTAATCAAAAAGAGGTGCTGGAATATATTGTAATTTCTGTAAAGGCTTCTTAATAAAGAACTCTCTATTCCAGAATCTTAGGAGCTCACAAGGAGGAGCTATATATTTGATCGAATAGGATGCCAACAAGGGTTCTACCTATTTTGATTAAAATGAAAAGTTTTAAATAATTAACTCTTAATTTCATAACTGCTCATCTTAAAAAGGAGGAGCTTTATACTTAGATAATCCATAGTCTATTAACATCATTAATTCTTCATTTATAAGCAATCAAGCCCTGATATTTGAGAATAATGAATTTTAAATTGTAAGCCAAGGCTCTGGTGGAGCAATTTACTATACGTGCAATATTTAGTAACTTAATTGTAAAATGAATTTAAATGGTACTCTTACATTTTAATAAAATAATGCTGAATTCTAAGGAGGTGCTATATTTTGGGATTAATTAGAACCCAACTACAACTTGAGCTCAATAAGCTTTATAAACAACAGTGGTTACTATTATGGAGATGACTTAGCCTGTTATTCCTAAAATCTAAGATAAGTCAGCTATTCTTAATACATGAAAAAAATGATTTAAATTAGAGTTAAAAATTAAGATGATTATAATCTAAGAGAGCTACTTAATGAATATTAAGATTAGGGAAATGAAAGAAAGAGGGAAATTTAAGAACTAAATAATTAAAGAAGTGGGGGCTCTATACCTATAATTTATATTGCTATGATGGACAAATATGGATAAATTGTTGGCGCAGATTTTACAAGTAAGGTTCGAGTAAATATCGATACTAATAACTTAAGCGAGAAGCAAAATCTATATTCTCCCATTATCGAGGGTTCGAGTATATTTGATGTTATAGGTGGGATTGCTGTAATTTCTGATATTATTATTGTTGGAACTCCAGGAACATCCTATTAACTTGTTTTTTCCTCTGATGGAATTGATCTTAGCAAAGATTCAAATAAAAAGACAATGAATTATGAGGGAAACTCAAACCTAGATTTTGATATAGATATCAGACTTAGAGAATGTGAGATTGGAGAGTAATTTACTACATCTGGCAAGTGTCAAATATGCTAAGATAGTTACTCATTAGTTAAAATGACTCAACCTGGCAGTTGTGAAGTGTGTCCAACAGAAAAAGCTAAATGCATTGAGGGAGCTCAAATTGGGCCTCTTCCTGGTTATTGGAGGAGAAATAATGAATCTAAGATTTTTACATAATGTCTTTATGAATTTGCTTGCTTAGGGATGATTCCTCCTAAAAATATTCTTGTTGGAGAGTGCTAATAAGGATACCAAGGAATATTATGCGCTGATTGTGAATACGGTTTTTCAAGGAATAATGACTATCAATGCTCATTGTGCCCAGAATCTGCTTTGAATGTCCTGAGGTTGCTTGCAATAGTCTCTGCAGTTGCAATTTTGATTGTTTTTATGATCAGATCTACATTGAATGGAGCCATGGAAATTAATAATGTTACAAGTATTTACCTTAAAATACTCCTAAACCATTTCTAGCTTATTTTAGTAACAGCTTCATTTGATTTTAGATGGTCTTAGCAAATAGTAGAATTCTTTAGTTCAACAAAACAAGTAGCCACTGCATCTACTTAAGTCTTTAGTTTTGATTGCTTTCTTGATACAAGAAGTTCTAATGAGTAATCTAGTCAAGTGGAAAGAAGGATATTCTTTCAGAAATTGATCATGATTGCTTTATTACCTTTCTTATTAACAATTCTCTGCTGTATTGTTTGGAATATTTATAAGAAAATCAAAAAGGATTAAATTGAAATAAGAGGCAAACTATTGTCAAGTCTTGTAATTCTATTATTCCTAGTACATCCAAGCTTGGTCACATATTCTTTTCATAATTTCAAATGCAAAGAAGTTGACAGTGAATAAAGAGTATAGGATGATCTTGAAATAGAGTGTTGGTCAGCTGTTCATAATGTATTCAGCTATTTTGTCGCCTTACCTAGTATCATAGTCTGGGGGTTAGGTATTCCCTTTTTTGCTTTTGCAATTCTAATAAAGAGAAGAGATAAACTGAATACATTTGAAGTAAGATAAAGTTATGGCTTTTTATTCAGAGGGTATCGAAAAGAATATTATTTTTGGGAAATAGTAATCATGTATCGGAAAATCATGATCATATTTACTTCAGTATTTATCAGTAATTTCGGAGTTGTGTCCTAAGCACTTCTTGTTTTTATGATATTGATTTTTTTCTTAATGATAAATTTCAAAAAATAGCCATTTAACACACTAGTGCTAAATGATCTTGAAACTTTATCATTAATTACTTCAATGATTACTATCTATTGCGGCATATTCTTCATTTTAAATAAACCAAAAGATTGGATAAATGAAAATCCAGATTTAGCAAGAGGATCAGTCTCTTTATCAGATGGTTTTCAAAAATTCTTTTTTTTCCTCATATTGTCATCAAATTTGTGTTTCTTTTTATTCTGGGGCTACAAAATGTATTAAGAAGGGAAGGCTAAATTTAGATAAAAATTCACAAAAATCTACCTAGCATTGTGCTTGTGCTAAAATTAGAATAAATTAGAAGATTAATTAATAATGCATTAGATAGAGCAAGAAAATATAAACTATTAATAATAGCTCAAATCATAATTAAAGAAAATCAAGAAAGTGTTTATTAATGGTGAACTTAATCTAAATAAAAACAACATTGAAAGGATATTGATGCATGTAGGATTAGATTAGTTTTATAAAATTGTTGAGGGTAATAAAAGAATCATGAAAAAAGAGACATAGACTTAGCATTTAAGAAGTTAAAAAATAAAAAATACAATTAAAATACAAAAATAATCATTCTCTGAGACTCAAAAATAAGATGATGACCTAAGTCAGAACTTTAAATTATATATTGAAGATTTCTCTGGCAATAAATAAACGTAATAGACAAATGATTCATAATAAGATATCTACTTTGATGAAAGCTAATTTCAGGATGAAATAACATTTAACAAAAATAATATGTCTAATCAAAAGTATTTGGATAGCCAAATCAGTCTAGCATCTATTAAAACGTTTAAATTTAATAAAGAAAGACAAGAAATTAAAAAATCTAGATTACCTGTTGGTTATGATGCATTAGCAAGAGGATAAATCAAAAAAATAACTGAAGAAAAATACAATATAAAATAAAATGCAATTAGAAAATTTTATGAACCTTTTACTCCTTCTATATTGACTAAAAAGAAAAAGATACTCAATAATAAAAATGCAATTTAATCTGAGTTAGCAATAAACAAAAACTATATTGCGACATCTGAAAGATTTTAAGAAACTTCCTCAATTATGGAAGACAAAATTAATCATTCATAGCTTGAACTTTTGGTTAATGATAGAATTAAGGAAATTACAGTTAATTATTAAGAAAGTAAAAATTCTGAATAGAATATTTTAGTTAGAAAGAGATTTAATAAACAAAAAAAGCAGATGAAAAATAGAAATTAAAACAATCAGACAATATAAAAGCAAAAGAACTCTTTAAGTGAGACATCCATTAGCAATATACATAATGAAAAAGTAATACGAGGTTTAACAATAAGATAATAAGATGATTTTAATTAAAAAATTTCAATCAATGATTATGAATTACTAGTTTAAGATCCAAAATAATGTGAAAATCAATTGAAGAATGTTGAATCACCATGTACAGAATAAACATTTGATTGCAAAACATATGGTTTTTAAGAATTTTTAGTTCATTAGTAGGAAGATAAGAATAGTAAATTCTAAATTGATCAAATAGGACATTTGCTATATATTGATAATGAAAGTATTCAGATTTCTTAGAAAAGATAAGACCAGCTTGCAGTTATTGATCTTTCAAAAAGCACAGATAGTTTAGACATTTTGTCCGCCGTATAAAATTAAAATTTCTTATCTCCTAAAAAATCAAAAGAAAATGTTGGCAATAACAAACTTCCTATTGCTATTAAGGAATCTGTTTCTTTTTAGAGTCCAGATGAGGATAGTAAATCATTGTAAAGAAAAGAGTAATTTGCTTTTATGAGTGACAAGATATTAGACTTTTATAACGAGAAAAATACTGACTCAATAATGATTTAATAATATTCGGAATCTGAAAAATCTTTACTTATAAGTTAAGATTCATAATTAGATATTTGATAAGATTATATG